CTGAGCGAGACAGGTTGTGTCCGTAATATAAGTGTCATCTCTTATGCATGCATCACGAGGCAAGAGAATCCAAACTTATGATCTAACTATGATTTATTTCTTAATTGTAATTGGCTTTAAACTAGCTTCAGTTAAAGAGGGACGAAAGATACCAGAGGGACAGTCAAAATCATAGATCGAAAACAAACTGACAACGTCATGGCCAAAAATAAAAAGACAAACAGACAAATAATAGTACAGATGACACAACATAGAAAACTAAAGACTAAGCAACACGAACCCCACCAAAAACTGGGGGTGCGAGTCCTACTATTTCGGTGCTTTGTTTCTATTGTTTTTATGTTAATGGTTTTGTGTCATGTATCGATCTTTTGAGTTTAGCCAATTACTAATTTTTACAGTTTGTTCGTATGTTATGTTGTTACACCACCGTTACATGTTAGGGGAGGGTTGAGAGCTCACAAACATTTGTACCAAGCTACATTGTATGTGCCTGTTCATAGTCAGGAGCTTGTAGTTCAGAGGTCGTTTATGGTTTATGTCTGTATATGCATTTCGAACATAATTTTGTAACAAATCGGGCCGTTGGTTTTGTCATTTGCATTGTTTCATATTTTTCATGTCGGGGCCTTCCATAGCCGTTTATACGGTATGAAGTTTTCTCACTGATGAATGCCGTACGATTGCGTATAGTTGCTTACATCCACTTAATTTAACTCTGGTGGATAGTTGTCTCGTTGGCCATTATACCACATCTCCTTATTTTTATATCTTTAGGATCGGGAAAAGAACAATTAAAATTTACAGACCAATCTACGAAATCGATCCCAACACTATCGAGGAATCACGTTGAAATTTTCACTACCTAGTTGGCTGCTATGACTTATATCAATGCGCATACATTCAATGTATTTCCAGATAAGACCCCCTCTCCCTTCGCTCATTCGCAAATGCATTGAACATTACAGATAAAAAGAAACCTTATTTGACAAATTAAGCTCCTGGTGGCCTTACTATCTTGAATGTCAATTTATTCTGCACTCTTAAGCGAAAACAGGTATTAAAATGTAGTTATATATAAACAATATATTGGGTGAATGTTTGCGCCTATTAAAAACGTGTAAACAAGCTGCATTTGTTTGTACCTGTCCTAAGTCAGGAACATGATGTTCAGTTGATTTTCGTTTGTTGATGTGGTTCATAAGTGTTTCTCGTTTTTATATAGATGCGACTGTTCGGTATGAGCCAAGGCTCCATGTTGAAGGTCGTACTTTGACCTATAATGGTTTACTTTTACAAATTGTGACTTGGATGGAGAGTTGTCTCATTGGCACTCATACCACATCTTCTTATATCTATAGACATGTTTTTTTGCTTAAGTATTAAACAGAAAGCGCTATGCATTTAAAACACATTGTTTTCCCTCTGTGAATGACCATCGAAGTACTACATGTATATTAGTATAATAAGTATTGTTTATAATTGAGTTGTTTTAAAAAGTTCTATAGAAAATGAGGTGGTGATCAATCACATCCAGACATATAACGTTCTTAATAAGATATCACACGTTTCAATCTATTGAAGTAAATCAATTATAAAAGAAACTTTATTTCCTGATAAAAAAATGAAAAAAAATATGTGGTATGATTATTAATGAGACAACCAGAGACCAAATGATGTAGATGTAAGCATTTATGATTCTCCGAAATGTCTTCAACGATGAGCGAAAGATATATACAATCTAGTCTGGTCACGCTTTACTTCCACGATCAAAATAACGCATTGTCAAATATTTCACGATGAATTCTGATTATAAATCAACAAAATCATTCTTTACAAAATTATTCTTTACCTTTTCAAGAAAAGCATCCCTTCTATTTTACTGTACTATCTGACAGACAAAAGATTTAGTTTAAAATATAATCTGATTTATTGGAAAGTGACCATTCGAGATCCAAAACGTGGCTTCTATGTGTAATGATTCGCATAAGAATGTGTTTTGCCTTTTGAGTTTTCATTAAAGTATACTGCATTATTTTTTACCTTAGTGCACAGTATTATTAAGTAAGTTGAATTATTTTGACAGACTTATTTCTTTTTTCTGTTTTTTTTTTTCCCGCCTGTTGATAATATAATAGATATTGTAACAGATTTTGCAGTTGACTTGTATCTTAAATAGCTTCACGCTCCAATTCCAGATCTTTTACGATCCGATCCCAATGCTTGACCCCGTTACTTATTCTTTCACGAAAATTTTTCTCAATATACCAAAAGTTAGCCGTGATCTGTTAAATTTAAACTGTTGATACATATATAAACCAATCTCGTGTTTTGTTTTTATGAAAGAGTTACACCGATTGACTTCGAATCTGCGTATTAAATGAACTCATTGAAGAATCGGTTCCTAGTGTGACATAATAACATAAGCATTGTGACGTACGAACTGTACGATTTTAAATGTCGTCTATAGCCCTTGACATATTGCATTTACGACGGTCTATTGTTTAAAAACATATGTTGAACTCTAAATGTATTTGTATTTATGTTATATTGCTGTCTCTTTGACGAATAACCAACATTTCCTTTTATTGCAGTTTGGTTTTTCGTAAAAAAGGCCCGATAGAAAAACATTTATACATGAATGATATTGGTTTAAAAGTTTGAGACAAATAGATAATTTCCTAAAAGATTGAATGGGAATCATAGTTGCATTAGTACTTTCATGCATGCTACCCAATTAACATGAAATGACGATTAGAATGAAATTGGTGTTTATACGAATGTCAACCTTGACCCCCAAAAAATGTTTCAAGTAAAGCTACAATATGTCTTTCGGATATAAAATAATTCGTTTGGCTAGAGACGTGCTTCCAATTCAAAATTTACAAAAAACATGTTGCAATTTTGTACAAAAAAAATACCTTCAACAGCAACATGTGGTACTCAAAAACGTTTTAATTTATGTAACCGGTAATAGATATAATTGTTATTGATTATGGTCCTGCCTGGCCTTATCTATGGCAAATAAGAACTTTAGCCGAATGCTGCACGTATAACAAGTTTCCTTTATGAATTATCGTACATCATTCCAACTGTCACCACTTATAATGAAGCAGAAAAAGTTTACATGAATGCATAAAATTGTGTAACGGAAAAAAAGAGAAATGATTGATTGATTGATTGAATGTTGCTTGCTTAACGTCCAGAGGCTTTTTTTCATGCACATTTGGGATGAGAACAAAATTGCACGATAGGTAGGTTTTGTAATATGGGACGACCGGTATGAAAGGCGGGGAAAAAGTATGTTCGGTAAGGGTCTTATTTCATTGATTTATTGATTGTTGATTGATTAACGTCCAGTGGCAAATATTTCATGCATGTTCAGAAGGAGAACAAATAAATAATAAACACAATAGGTAGGTCCTGTAATGAAGGCCGTCCAGAATGAAGGTCGGGGAAATTTGGACTGCCACTGCAAAATGAAGGTACAACAAATGTATGTAAGATAGATTCTGAAATATGGTCCATTGTTTCAAGATAAAAATGCTGCAGGTTGATGAATAAAAATGTAACAAGATGAATATTTGAAAAAAATGTCTAGAAGATGCTACCCAAAATTAACTGAATAGCAATCCTTATGCTAAAATATCATTTTGTTGACAAATGTTTCCGGTCCTTAAACTAATAGAAATAAATCTTTTTTCATTGAATTACATAATAGATCACATTTCCCCGCCATTTTTGCCGTCAAAAGAACAATAAGCATGTGTACATAAATTTTCAATAAAACGATCTTTTACCTCAAAAGAATTTCTGGAAAATTTTAGATCTTGGTCATTCTCTGAAATAAATTTTATCAAAACCTTCAATTTTTCCACCCTTTATTTACACCTCCATTCCACATGACAGATTTTAAAACCGATCGAAAAGAATAACCCACAATGTTTTCCTCCATTAAAAATAGTACCATACGATCCAAGTTTTTTTGGGATATGATACGCAATATTTTATAATAAACCCGAAAAAATAATATTTTACACTGAAAAATAAACGATCAAAAAGCTGGAGTTTCTCGTTGATAACATATTTGTTGAATTTGAGATCGAATTTTCAAGCAGATTGCGGCATTACTATGGGAACCAATTGTTGTTTCGCTAGCTATAAAAACAGGTTTGGCCCATCCATCATTTTCTTCTGACAATGCCTGTAATACAAGTAACTTTTCTTAAAGGGTACGGATCGATTAGCAATATCAAAAATTACGTCAACATGGAGCAATAATACAGTAATTTTATTCCGTATTTAATATCTTCTCCTGTCCGGGACGTGTTCCAAATTATGTTTTTATCTCATTCTTGTTAATAAAGCCTCTTCCACATCTTAAGGCCACCAACCATAACCAATATTTGTTTATTACTTATTTCAAGATGGCGTGAATATCTGATGAAACTAATCGCTTGCGATACGAAGCCATAGTGTATGACACTGATTTTCTGGTGAGAAGGACTGCATCCTTTTTTGACCGATTAACCCAATTTTATGCCTTTCTTTTATTGCAACCATCAATTGCGTTGATATATTTCCATATAAACTCTTCTTGCCTACAGGGCGAAGTGAGTTTTTCTCATCGCTTTTCCGGCGTCCGTCGTCGTTCGTTAACCTTTACAAAAGTCTCCTCCTCTGAAACTACTAGGCTAAATTTAAACTCACTGCTATTGGCAACAGAGGGTACTATCCCTTTTTATCGGAATTTGCATTATTTAAAACCTTATAAAAGTAAGAAAATTTGATATGTATCCTGATTTTGACGACCGTAACAGTCTAATATTTTGAAAACGGAAAATATTTGTCATTTATTGGAAAATGATATTTATTTTTTATCAAAAACAATCATCAATAGAAACATTTATAAAGCATCCACATTGTTTTTCATAATAAACAAAAAACATAATTTATGCTGACACTAAAAAAAAACATCAATACATAGCCGGTAGTGAAATTCAATCGCTGTAAAAATAATGAATACACAATATGTTTAATTATTCTGATTGCTTGAAATGTTGTTAAAATTGCTCATAGCTTTGATATTGCTTGAATTGTCATAGGTAAATTTTTTGGCGGATTATCATTCTTTCGAAAGATAATTTTGGCGTAATTTACTAGATTGTATGCAGACTATGGATATCCAAGCTGCTACTTGTGAAATATTGCTGACTGGACCGCCCTTTAGTACACCATCTTTTGGATCGCCCAGCTGTTATACAATGATTAGTTCAATCGTCGTCAAGATTTTATTTTGACTGACAATAATTTTGTTGTGTAATGTATGTTGTTTTTGTTGTTGTTTGAATTTTGATTAAATGTTGCCATGACAATTCATAAGCCAAACTAAATCAGTGTTTGTTATTTGTTGTAGTCATATACAAATACGTCATCAATGATATCTATTCTTATAAATTTTTATTATTATATTATTTTATTTTGATAAAAGGATATATTCAATAAAGTACAGATAACAAATAACGGCAACAGAAGTATACCGCTGTTCAATAGTCATAAATAGATTAAGCGATAACAAATACGGGTTACAAACTAAAACCGAGGGAAACAACGGAACAACAGAAACACTGAACTGCAACAAAACCAAACGCCAACATACATATAAACAAACTATTGGTACAGGGCATTTTAAGACAAAAATGGTGGGTTGAACCTGGTTTTATGAATAGCCAACCCTCACGCTTATATGGAAATGTTAAAAATACCGCCAAAGTGACAACAGTACGTGACAGGAATAAACCATGTAATCATATGGGTATATTTAGAAACACAACCTTTTATATAACGTACTTTAACGTGATTCAAACCGAACAAATTTGAGTTCTTTGTGCAATTTTACATGTAGATACTTCATGCATTATGATGTGTTTTTGTATTTGCTCAATTTGTCTGATTTCAAAATTCATACACTTAAGAAATGCAAAGGCTCTACGAACATCATTACAATCTGTATTTTTTCTAATTTGTTTCCGTCACCATTTATTCAAATTAAAAATGCTGTGACAAAATTTAGAAACATTGTATTTTTTTCTCATTACCACTGATGTTAAACATTTACACGTTAGAAAAGCAGCTCTAATACCGATAACTCTATAATTTGGAGTTTTCCTTAATGTTTAAGTTCTTATTCTTTGGAGAAATCTACAAATGAAAACTGAAACATTCTTTAAGTGATATAGGTATTGCTGATTGTTGAAGGTCGTACGCTGATCTAAAGTTGCTTACTTTTACGTTAGTTGGTGTCTGGTATCGCATTAGCAATCATATTGCATCCTCTTATTTTGATATGGAACCAATGAGACAAGAAATGATATTTGAATTGAAGTGACATTATTTTATAAATACTTTATGATATGTTATCTGTAATGTTTTTAAGTTGATGAATTTAAACTATACATTAGTAGTTTCATAAGTTTGATCATTAATTGTTTTATCAATGGTGTACTCCATTCACAATCTCATATCTTGTTTTGTACATCACTGTCTTTGATTATCTTCACAATATCACACAGGAATTTTTTCTAGTATTTCTTTTTTCTACTTGATTTTTACCAATATCGGTTAATAAACTCACTGCACACATGTTTTCATTTGCTGCTTGAACAGCCGACTTTCCATGTGTATTTGTAATTGTTCTATCAACATGAATTTTAGATATTTCGTCATTTAGATCACGTAAGAATTTCACTGTGTCATAATGACCTTCCTGATTAGCTAGATATAGTGGTGTACAACCTTGATTTGCTGTGTCATTTACATTCATATCGACATCAGTCAATAATTTTACTACTTGTGTATGTCCATTCGTACAAGCTATATGTAAAACTGACCATCCATTTCCATCTTTTAGGGTTGTATCTACACGACTATTTAATGTTTGGCCGTTCAAATCAAGTAAGAAATTTACTGTGTCATAATGACCGTTCCGACAAGCTAGAAATAGTGGTGTTGAACCTTTGTTTGATGTGTCATTTAAATTCATACCGATATCAATCAATAACTTAACTACTTGTGAATGTCCATTCGAACAAGCTACATGTAAAACTGACCATCCAACTTCATCTTTTAGTGTTGTGTCTACACAAATATTCAATGTTAGACCGTTTAAATCAAAGTAAGAATTTTATTGCGTCATAATGACCGTTCCGAAAAGTTAGATATGGTAGTGTTGAAACTTCGCATGATGTGTCAGTTACATTCATACCGACATCAATCAATAACTTAACTACTTGTGTACGTCCATTCGAACAAGCTGCATGTAAAACTTTCCATCTTTTAGGGTTGTATCTACACGACTATTTAATGTTTGGACGTTCAAATCAAGTAAGAATTTTACTGTGTCATAATGACCGTTCCAACAAGCTAGACATAATGGTGTTGAACCTTTGTTTGATGTGTCATTCACATTCATACCGACATCAATCAATAACTTAGCTACTTGTGTACGTCCATTCAAACAAGCTGCATGTAAAACTGACCATCCATTTCCACCTTTTAGGGTTGTATCTACACGATTATTTAATGTTTGGCCGTTCAAATCAAGTAAAAATTTTACTGTCATAATGACCGTTCCAACAAGCTAGACACAGTGGTGTTGAACCTTTGTTTGATGTGTCATTTACATTCATAGTGACATCAATCAATAACTTAGCTACTTGTGTATGTCCATTCGAACAAGCTGCATGTAAAAATGACCATCCATTTCCACCTTTTAGGGTTGTATCTACATGACTATTCAATATTTGGCCATTTAAATAAAGTAAGAATTTCACTGTTTCATAATGACCTTCCCGACAAGCTGTGATAATCAAAACTGATTACATGTAGTTACTTCTAGCATTGTGATTTGTTTTTGTATTTGCTCAATTTGTCTGATTTCAAAATTCATACACTTAAGAAATGCAAAGGTTCAAAGAATATCATTATAATCAATATTTTTTTTTCTAATTTTTTTCCGTCACCATTTATTCAAATTAAAAATGCGGTGACAAAATTTAGAACATTGTATTTTTTTTTCTCATTACCACTGATGTTAAACATTTAAAATTGAGAATGGAAATGGGGAATGTTTCAAAGAGACAACAACCCGACCATAGAATAGACAACAGCAGAAGGTCACCAACAGGTCTTCAATGCAGCGAGAAATTCCCGCACCCGGAGGCGTCCTTCAGCTTGCCCCTAAACAAATATATATACTAGTTCAGTGATAATGAACGCCATACTTAACTCCAAATTGTACACAAAAAACTAAAATTAACAATAATACAAGACTAACAAAGGCTAGAGGCTCGTGACTTGGGACCGGCGCAAAAATGCGGCGGGGTTAAACATGTTTATGAGATCTCAACCCTCTCCCTATACCTCTAGCCAATGTAGAAAAGTAAACGCATAACAATACGCACATTAAAATTCAGTTCAAGAGAAGTCCGAGTCTGATGTCAGAAGATGTAACCAAAGAAAATAAACAAAATGACAATAATACATAAATAACAACAGACTACTAGCAGTTAACTGACATGCCAGCTCCAGACTTCAATTAAACTGATTGAAAGATTATGTCTTCATCATATGAATATCAGGCACAATCCTTCCCGTTAGGGGTTTAGTATCATACCATCATAACATATATGAGAAGAACATAACCCGTGTCATGCCAACAACTGGTTTTTAAATAAATGTGTTTAGTGCCGATGCAAAGACCCTATAAATGAATCAATATTAACGCCAAAATATGCAATCTTTAATGACCTGACAACAGTATCGTAACGATATCCCTTCTTAAGTCTATTTAAAGGTTTTGTTAGCTTCAGAGGTGAATACTGACATTTTTGTGCTTTATAAAGAATATTTCCATAAAAAATTGGATGTGAAATACCTGAACGTGTAAGAAGTCTGCATGTTGAGCTATATTTACGAATGATGTCCTTATACCGATGATAAAATTTAGTAAATGTTTTGACTAGTTTGTGATATCGAAAACCCTGGTATAATAATTTTTCAGTAATACATAAATTTCTCTCGTTAAAATCTAAAACATTGTTACATACACGAGCGAATCGTACAAGTTGAGATATATAAACACCGTAAGATGGTGACAAGGGAACGTCACCATCTAAAAATGGATAATTAACGATAGGAAATGAAAAATCATCTCTTTTATCATATATTTTAGTATTAAGCTTTCCGTTAATGATATAGATATCAAGATCGAGGAAAGGACAGTGGTCATTGTTAGTATTAGCTTTATTTAAAGTAAGTTCAACAGGATAAATTTCTTTAGTATACATACTGAAGTCGTCATTATTGAGAGCCAAAATATCATCCAAATATCTAAAAGTATTATTAAATTTGTGTATCAGATGTTGTTTCGATGGGTCTTTGCCGATTTTTGTCATAAATTGTAACTCATAGCAATACAAAAAAAGGTCCGCAATAAGTGGTGCACAGTTAGTCCCCATTGGAATTCCGATAACCTGACGATATACGGAATCTCCAAAGCGAACAAAAATGTTATCTAGTAAAAATTCAAGGGCATATATAGTATCAAAGCATGTCCAATTGACATAGTTTTACACGTTAGAAACGCAACTCTAACACCGATAAAACTTCAATTTGGAGTTTTCCTTAATTTTTAAGTTCTTATTCATTGGAGAAATCTACAAGTGAAAACTGAAATATGTTCTAAGCGGTATAGGTATTGCTGATTGTTGAAGGTCGTACGCTGATCTAAAGTTGCTTACTTTTACGTTAGTTGGTGTCTGGTATCGCATTAGCAATCATATTGCATCCTCTTATTTTGATATGGAACCAATGAGACAAGAAATGATATTTTAATTGAAGTGATTTTATTTTATAAATCCTTTATGATATGTTATCTGTAATATTTTTAAGTTGATGAATTTAAACTATATATTAGTAGTTTCATAAGTTTGATCAACAATTTTGTTTTATCAATGTTGTACTCCACTCGCAATCACATATCCTTCACTGTCTTTGATTATCTTTACAATATCACACAGGGACATTTTCTAGTATTTCTTTTTTCTACTTGATTTTTACCAATATCGGTCATTAAACAACTTACATATGTGTGTTCATTTAAATATGCTGCCTGAAAAGCCGACTTTCCATGTGTATTTTTAATTGTTGTATCCACATGACTATTTAATATTCCGTCATTTAAATCAAGTAAGAATTTCACTGTGTCATAATGACCTTCCTGGTAAGCTAGATATAATGGTGTAGCACCTTCATTTGACGTGTCATTGACATTCATACCGACATCAATCAATAACTTTACTACATCTATATGTCCGTCAAAACAAGCTGTATGTAAAACTGACCGTCCATTTTTATCTTTCGTCGTTGTATTTACAAAACTATTTAATGTTTGGCCATTCAAATCAAGCAAGAACTTTACTGTGTCATAGTGACCTTCCTGACAAGCTAGATAGAGTGGTGAATAACCGTTGTTTGTTTTGTCATTTACACTAAAACCAAATCCAATCAATAACTTTACTATTTCCATATGACCGTTGAAACAAGCTGTATGTAAAACTGACCATCCATCGGGACTTTCAATTATTGTATCTACACGACTTTTAAATGTTTGGCCATTCAAATTAAGCAAGAATTTCACTATGTCATGGTGACCTTTCCGACAAGCTAGATATAGTGGTGTAGAACCGTTGTTTGTTGTGTCATTTACACTCAAACCAACCCTAACCAATAACTTTACTACTTCTGTATGTCCTTGTGAACAAGCCGCATGCAAAACGGACCATCCGTCTATCTTCATTGATGTATTAACACGACTATTCAATGTTTGACCGTTTAAATCAAGTAAGAATTTTACTGTGTCATAATGACCGTTAATACAAGCTCTATATAGTGGTGTAGAACCGGTATATGTTGTGTTATTAACATTCATATTAGCATCAATCAATAACTTTACTACTTCTGTATGTCCTTTTGAACAAGCAGCATGTAAAGCTGACCATCGATCTATACGTTGGATTATTGTATATACACTTTGATTATTCAATGTTTGGCCGTTTAAATCTAGTAAGTATTTCACTGTGTCATAGTGACCGTTTTGACAAGCTAGATATAGTGGTGTAGAACCGTTATTGGATGTGTCATTTACATTCAAACCGACATCAATCAGTAACTTTACTACGTCTGTATGTCCACTCTTACAAGCTACATGTAAAACTGTCCACTTACGTTGAGTTGTATGTAAATTCCTCAATTTTTCAGCAACTGTTCTACTTTTTTGTTTCGAATTAATAAAATCGATAATGTACTTAACTGTATCATAACAGCCATGTTTGCAAGCAAGAAATAGAGGTGTCCAACCATTGTTTTCTTTATGATTGACATCCATTCCAAACTCCACTAATGTTTTAACAGTGTCTCTGTGCCCTTTTTCACAGGCTATGTGTAAAGCAGTTTGTCCATAGGTATCTCTAACTGTTATATCTACATTAAATTCGCCATATAGTAAACGCTGCACCAATTTTTCATTACCATTTAAACAAGCAAAGTGCATTGCGCATTGGTTTAATTTGTTAGTTCTGTTGGTTTCTGCATTGTTTTCTAACAACAATTGAGCCACTTCAATGTGACCATTAAGGCAGGTTGCAGATAATGCAGTTGTTTTCTCAGCGTTTTCTGCATTGATGTCATGATAATATTTCATTAGATATTTAACAACTGCAAACTGACCGTTTTCACACGCAACATAGAATGAAGATCTACCTTCCTTGTCTTTTACATCTATGTGACCAGGACATTTTACTATAAAGTATTCTACAAAATCTACGTATCCTAAATACGATGATACAAACAGCGGTGTAACTCCATCTTTGTCAGGAACGTAAGTAATTTTCTGAGATGTGTCTTGTTCTTTCAGAAACGATAAAAGTAGTTTTCTATATGTCTTTTTCTCTGACTGCATGCTTCCAAACACTTCCCAGTATCTCCCATTTGTTGCTTCCTTATATTGTCTTTTAAGATAAATTCTATCCAACTCTGGGTGGATATAAACTACGAAGGGGAGACTACTTCTACCCAATGACAAAAGATGAATGCGATGTGCAAGGAATGCAATATCAACAAACTTTATCAAACAATATACTATAGATGGTGCAATGGCTGCTGATATGATGTCAAACATTTTGTCGTGGATTGCTGAATAGACGTTATCTGCCTCAATAATATAGTTACCCTTGAGACTTTCAAAACATTTTTGTATACACATCATGGAAACGACTGGTTCAATGTCACACTCCCTGCATATATATTTAACTAGCTGTTCCATATCCCCAGATCTTATGTCATCTTTACTAATATTATTATTCCTCAGAACAAGAAGAGAAAGACAGAGAAAATGTGATTCAGATTTGATTTTCATTACTGAGATTTCCTTTTCAATTATTTCAACAGGGTGAGTAAAGAATCTTGGATCTCGATTGCCCTTTTTGCAGTACAAAGCACATATAAGAGGGAAAAAATCATACAGACAAATATTTTGTATGTCGTTCACAGTGTTCTCAGGTACATACGACAATGCAATATTCCTCATTTCATCTGGAGAAATTTTATATTTGGTACTAAAGCTGCACTGAACAAGTGAGAAACAAGTCAGTTTTGGGAATGCCTTGTGATTATATATGTTCTCCCTGCACGTGATAATACAGTTAACCTTTGATTCGCCACAGTTTTCCTCATTGTCATCATTCGGAGCACAGAATGCAGTTAACATATTTAATTTACCATCGTTTTGTTCCCAGGAGTCTGCTTTATGCTGATTAAGAGCAAATTTACCACATACATCATCAATAACATAAACCTGAATCTTCTCTGATGTAAAATGCTTAAGGATTTCTGAGGGATCATCACAAGGAATTATGTCATATCCCTCCTTCTTTAATTGCAATGCTACATGATGAGCCGTAACAGATTTACCACAGCCGGGTGAGCCAGTAATAATGACACCTTTATTGTGTTTTAATGACTGTAGTATAAATGCCGTTGCTGAGGTTGAAACGTATTTCTTGTCTGTGCATTTCCATTTTTTTAACGTTCTATGGCGTATTTCTGCAAGATAAGTTTTTTTACGAAATATTCTTACTACATTCCACTAATCGTTTAAAGTTTATCGTGAAATGGTATTTTCAAGATTGAGAAATAAACTTCCAGTATACAATATTTCAAAAAGTTATTATTCTACGAACTCCAAACAAACTGACCCCATGTGCCTTAACAGAGTATTATCCCCTACTAAGTACTGTGGATTCATTATTATTCGTTGGATATCAATTTTCGTGAATATCGTGGGTATAGGTGAGCCACGAAAATTGGTACCCACGAAAATAAGTGAATCCACAGTATGTTTCATCCGTCACATCATTTCAAAACCGTCGGCACCAAATGGGATCAATGAAAAGGTTTAGTACTTATCGCGCAGTTCTTTTCGTGAGGGTTGTATAACTAAGCAGTCTATGTTGTTATTCATTTACCTTTGTCAAATCTGAAATTCTATTTTTATACCGTTTCAAATCTCATAGTGCTATCAATTTGGGATGTATAAATACGCAGTCTCTGTTGATATTACTAAACTTTCGTCTTTTTTTAGAATTATATCAGTTCAAATCGTACAGTGCTATTCATTGATGATGTATATCTATGCAGTCTCTGTTGTAATAACTAAACTTTCGTTACCTTGTAAAATTGTACCGGCTCATATAGCACACTAATATTGTTTTCGGATGCATATCTACGCCCTCACTGTTGTAAATACTTTACATACGTCAACTTTGAACTTTTAGAATTAACCAAGCGTGGTTCGGTTTTCAATTTATATTACGTTAAAGGTTGGATTAGTTAAATCCGAATAGATTGATATGATTCATTTAACCTCCCTAGCATACTGATGAAGGATATCTGTTATTCGTAGTATTCATAAATATTTATATTTATTGTTTCGTTTCTTTAAATATTGGTGTTGTTTTGTACACTTTTGAGCCGTTTATATGTAACACTCCAAAACCTGTCCATCCCCCAAAACGTGTCAGATTCCTCCAACGTGTCCATATGTCGTCAATGGACTGCAAAACATGTCTAGTTGCTAAAGGGCACTAAAAGGTGTCCCTTTTATGAACGCTTAATCGTGTCCATTGTTTAAAAAAGTCCAAACGTGTTCTATACCCCTGAACGAGTCCATATGAGGCCAAAAAGTGTCTTCTTTATGAACACTCAATCGTGTTCATATTGTAAAAACACCCAAACCTGTCCACCGTTATTAAATAGTGATTCGTAATCTGTATAAATACAAATCCAATCGATATTATAAAAGGAACCACATATTTTTTTTGGCTGTTGTGAAAATGGGACAGGAACTCTTAAGCCCAGACACCACTTCTGTAGGAAGCAGGTCGTGCGATACCCTCATATATTATCAAGATAGTTCGGGATCACAGAGTACATTAGTACAAAAGAATTCACTTAGTGAACGATAAATTAAACTGCGAAAAACTACTCATTAATTGCAATGTTTATGTTCGCTCTAAATATGCATGACATATTTGCCACTGGACATTTAGCAATCAACAGTCCTGAGTTAATTTTTGTTTTGTACACTTTTGAGCCGTTTATATGTAACACTCCAAAACCTGTCCATCCCCCAAAACGTGTCAGATTCCTCCAACGTGTCCATATGTCGTCAATGGACTGCAAAACATGTCTAGTTGCTAAAGGGCACTAAAAGGTGTCCTTTTTATGAACGCTTAATCGTGTCCATTGTTTAAAAAAGTCCAAACGTGTTCTATACCCCTGAACGAGTCCATATGAGGCCAAAACGAGTCTTCTTTATGAACACTCAATCGTGTTCATATTGTAAAAACACCCAAACCTGTCCACCGTTATTAAATAGTGATTCGTAATCTGTATAAATACAAATCCAATCGATATTATAAAAGGAACCACATATTTTTTTTGGCTGTTGTGAAAATGGGACAGGAACTCTTAAGCCCAGACACCACTTCTGTAGGAAGCAGGTCGTGCGATACCCTCATATATTATCAAGATAGTTCGGGATCACAGAGTATATTAGTACAAAAGAATTCACTTAGTGAACGATAAATTAAACTGCGAAAAACTACTCATTAATTGCAATGTTTATGTTCGCTCTAAATATGCATGACATATTTGCCACTGGACATTTAGCAATCAACAGTCCAGAGTTAATTTATGTAAAAACCGGCGTTGCTTCCCTGGACAACTTAGGGTTGATGAAACTGGTGATTATTAATAAAATATGTATAAAATTAAAGATAAAACAAACTAATGCAAATAAATGATCACTTAATCAATAGTTAAAGCACTGGGGAAACGTTTTTGATTTTTGAAGTGTGAAGTATCCCAAAAATTCAAAACATTAATAATCATATTATTAAAAAAAAAAATAAAACATCTACAAGTAAAAATAAATTTTTATTGTGCCATTCTTTTTCTTATCTGGTGTCTGTTTTGAAAGCAGTATTCAGTTATTTCATCTTTCACTGTGGAAAGTGTATTGCGTTTTTTGTACTGTATTCCTTTCACGTAGTGTTGTCATTTTAGCGGTATTTTTTACAATGCCATATAAGCGTGAGGTTTGGCTAGCCATAAAACCAGGTTCAACCCACCATTTTTTCTTAAAATGTCCTGTACCAAGTCAGGAATATGGCAGTTGTTATCTCATAGTCCGTTTCTATGTATGTTGGCGTTTTTGTAGCAGTTCAGTGTTTCTGTTGTTCCGGTTTTTTTCCTCTTATAGTTGAAGTGTTTCCCTCAGTTTTGGTTTGTGACCCGGATTTGTTTCAGTTTAAATCAATTTATGACTATTGAACAGCGGTATATTACTATTGCTTATATTGCATGTCTCAGACAGTTGTCTATACGCATCACTCCACTTTCCCCCAGTATCCTTGAATAGCGGCTTTGGTAATTTTTCTTTAAAATCCTGCAACCAAAACCCGACGTCTTCAATCGTTTTCCCCATCAATGAGTTGCCGTAAATGTTATTGACGTCAATGAGGCCATATCATCGCTGAAAGTTTACAGACGTTCTGGCTTTTTTAAGGGGACACGTTTTGGAAATAACAATTGTCGGACACGTTTTGTTGGATGTGACACCGTACACCTTTGGGCCATTTCGGATTTTAAGGACACGTTAAAAGTAAAACAACAAAAATACCGAACTCCGTGGAAAATTCAAAATGGAAAGTTCCTAATCAAATGGCGAAATCAAAAGCTCAAACACATCAAACGAATGGATAACAACTGTCATATTCCTGACTTAGTACAGGCATTTTCTGATGTAGAAAATGATGGATTAAACCTGGTTTTATAGCTAGCTAAACCACTCACTTGTATGACAATCGCATAAAATTCCATTATATTGACAACGATGTGTTAACAAAACAAACAGACATAATAGGTAAAAATGTCAAAAATAGGGGTAGAGCAGTCAACATTGTGTTATAATCTTAATCACTATAAAAACAAACAAATATGTCAACAAAGAAACACAAAAAGGCCTATAGACAAAGCACATTAGCAAAAATGAAAGAGACAAGAATACAAAAATTTACCATAGCACAATAACACAATGACGGGATGTATAAGTCCAAGCCACGTCAAATGGATATTACCCAAACAAAGACTGAACAGTAAAAGTAATACTCACAAAAACAAATAAAAGAATACTATAACACGTTATTAAGGTTATAAACAATGTCATTACCTAGAATCTATACTTCAAGACGATATTGACCCATTGATGTGCAATAAAGCGATAGGGACACTTTATCGGGTATCGGACACGTTTAGGGGGATGGACACGTTTGGGAGTGTTACATATATATAATCAATTTTCTACAGTAATGTTGCTTATAAAACACGTAAATTAAGAGA